TTATCCAGCTCTTACAGCGACATCTAAACATCCAAGCCACGTCCAACGGTTGCTTGTGGAGTTTTGGCTGCCAAATCTCGTCGGAGGTCACACTGAGACAACATCAAATCAGTCAGAGGCCCGAGACTGTTTGACCAGTGAACATCCAGTAATTAATGAGGCAGGGTAATGAAATTTGATCAGGTTAAGCTAGTTGATTCTCCTTCGCCTCCAACAGGGAATGGCCAGAAACTATTAGACTGGTTCCACCAAAAGGTTCAGAAATAGGAACGAGGACCAGGAGGAGAAAGGAGTGAAAATCTGCGGTCAGCGATGAGAAGACCCCTCGCACACCTAGAGGACCAACCAATTCGCTGATTTTCGGCCTGTGATTCTCCCCCTTCGTTGATTCTTCCGCCTAGTCCTCGTCCTCTGCCTGGGAAAAGTGTGTATGCACTGCTTTGGATGAGGAGGTCGACGGTCTAGGATGGGATGGGGATGGGATCCATGTCATTCCAAACAATTCTGAGGCTGCCTGACTCATTTCTAACAAGACATTTGTCCCACAGCCATGCAGCAAAGCTGAGGCCCTTGAGATGAATCGCCCAACGGCCTGATGATGCCTGATGCCTCCGGTGCGGCACTCAGGCCAAGCAAGATGATCCAGCAAATGGCATCTTGACGGGACCACCCCAGAATGAAATATTCATCCCAAAGTTTGCCCTCAAATTCTGCATGTATTCAAAGATGTTCAATCATGCTCGGTTTTTTTCCACAAGGTGTTCATGGCCACGCTAGCTTTCATTCTGTCAGGTCGCTACTCCCGGATGCCTTTGAGGATGCCTTGGAAAGAACGATTCAAGTATATACTCGCGGTATTGAAGTAAATATATCCAAGCTTCTAGACTCTCTTGCTTGCAAACTTCGTCCAAAACATCACTGCAAACAGCAGAGACATAGAAGGGCTGACTGACCTTGGTCCACTTCTCCTTGGCCCCTTCTATATGAAGGCCTGATGAGCCTGATGAACAGCTGCTGCATCCCTCATTGCAATGTTTTCCCAAAAAAGCCGTTCAACCGGCCCGGCGACGTCTTGAGGAGCGTTGAGAAAGGGCGCAGCGTGGCGCCGAGGCCTGGTTCGACGTGCGGCGTCTCGGATAGATCGAGACGTGCTGGCGCTGTTTGTCAAATACCATTCTTGGAAGGGTGTCAAAGATCATAAATGTTCCAGGGAAGGAACGATTGTTCGTGATTTCTGAGGGTTCCTAATTACGTCGAGAAGTGTTTGTCGACATGCTTCAGAGGGTCAGTTGTTGGAACTGGGAGGTTGAGAAAGAAACAAGGACATACAAGGACCAAACTCACAATTGAAGCATTTTGAAGCTACCTTTAATGTACCCAAACATGGTAAGTCTTAAGTGTTCCAAGCGACCAACGGTTGATCTGCTCGAATCCAAGAGGCCTCAAAAACCTCTTTCACGATCCAGAGAGCAGCACCATGCGGCACCAATCAATCCTGATTTTAGGTGCTCAATCATGTGTTCCACCAGGCTCAAGCGCTCTTCCTTGTCGATTAGTACATTGGTCACCGAGTCAGCCTCCTTCAGCCAGATCGAGATGAACGAAGCAACCGATCTGTCGAGTTCTGGCTGCATGTGGAGAGGGCTGGAGTCACTTTGCCTGGTCGGGTCGACGGTCGACAGTCGACAGTCGAAGGCTCGGATGAGTCAAGCGGAGGAGATCCGAAGGCCCATTTCTGTAGCTGGCTGAGCTGTCTTTTCAAGAATCTGTTTGGGGTTCCCAGATCAATCTAGATCAACCAAGAGAGTCTATCTTGGATACTTGGATTCCAGCATTTCCGAGTTCAGCTGTTAGGTGCAATAGCAGTCGTATCAAAGTTTTGCAGAGAAAGGGGAAAGACTTCAGCAGTTCGCACATGAGGGTGGTGCCCCCAATCATGCCCTTTTAGAGCAATTTGCATCGATACGCAAAAGTAACTTCACGCTTTCCATGCATCCTTTTACCTCATGGAATCTCACGGCTGTGGAAGAAGTTTCTTGGAGGATCCAAGTGCTTTGATGCACCTTTCGGCTCAACAGCCCAGTTTTTCCACATCAGCTGGTGAGATCCAAACGTGCCACAGTTTCTGCTGGTGAGATCCAAACCGCCGTGCGGTAGCATGGAGCCGGATGACATCACGGCAGCATGGCAGCGCCGCCGGTCTCCACGACCGTGCAGGGCTTAGGTCCTCGGCCAACACTCCAGGACCTTGTTGCCTTTCAAGTGTTTAACTGTTTAAAGCAGAATCAGCAGCAGGTGGCTGAAACGTTTAGTTGAGCGAAGAGCCAATAATTACGTGCTCCTATTTCTTTTGAGCCGCAGTCAATGGTTCGAAGATGCAGTAGAGATTCCACTCGAGCTTCAGGCTTTGCAAAGCTTTGGTGTTGCATCCAGTGGGCTTGGGTCGCCGCGCACTCCTTTTCGATGTTTTCTGAGGTCTCCAACCTCGGGCCTGCAGTCGAACCTCACCGACCTGAGCATGCCTTTGCGAAAAGCTTAGAAGCACCAAGCCATACCAAGCCTAAGGCTTAAGGGAGGTCACGTTTACATAAATCATCATAAATCTGCCAGGTTCTTGCAGGAATAGCGAGGTGCGGAGAGTCTTCCAGCCTTCCAGTGATTGGTCTAGTTGTGGTCTTTCGCTGCATGTGCAGCCAACCATCCTGACTTCTCTTTCGTCGAATTCTTCAGCCAACTTGCGACAAGACAAACTGTGAAGGTCCAACATGCAGAAATTAGCAGTAAGAACTGTGATGGTACTGTGGTAGTAGCATTAGCAGTACTAGTAGCAGTACTTTCATGGTAAATGCATTAGCAGTACTTTGCAACACTCCAGAACCATTTCGAGAGATTGATCTCCCAATCAAGCAGAGCCCTCAACACTGCAGGTCATCCCCATCGCCCCGGAGGCTTCGTGAACCAGCTCAAGAGCCTTCTCCGCGACTAGGAGGTCATGCTGCCTTCGACACCCGCAACACGCGCATGCGCGTGTGCCCGCAGCTGCCCTTTGGAAGCAGGTTGAGGAAAGTGAGGCAAGTGAACGGAAGATGAACAGTCTGCCTGTGGGTTCGTGATCATTAAACTTGTTCCAGCTCTGAGGCATCCGAGCACGAACTGAATATGTTTTCTGAAAGTTCAACTTAGTAACCTCGATTGCCTAGGTTTTCCTGTGATCATCTCCCGAAAAGGATTTTGCTCCAGTTCCTGTAAGGAACGTCGATTTGGGTCCACCGCGAATGGCGACTTACAGCATCCAGCCGTCCAGAAACGCAGGGGAGCCCGAGGACGTGCACGGAAGTTTTCGCCAAGAATAGAGAAAAGTGGTCCCCAATTTGTTTTCGAAACGGATTCAATATTTTCGGAAAAGGATTTTACATGTCTATCTATTTGGGGGTCTATAATATTCTATAATAACTTTTTTTTGCTGATGAGAGTTTGGACGAGTTGTTTTCATTTTTGCAAGGCTTTGGCAGCTTTGACTTGTGTAAGCTTGGGGAACCTGATCAAAAGGGTTTCATTCTTATAGACATCTTCGCCAAGTTTCCACATTCATATTGCTTGCAGTGCGCAGTGCGCAGTGCTAGGTCAGAGCAGCTCCCTTCGGAGATCCTTGGCGAGCTTGAGCAAAGAATCAGCAGTTCACTTGGTTGGCTTGCTCAAAATCTTCCAATATATGACTGTAGGTGATGGCACCCAGGCACCCTGGGCTTTGGCCCCCGGGTCATGGCTGAACAGATTCCTCTATGTAAGGGGTGTCACCCTACCATGGTTTGGTGAGGGAGGTTTTGACTCACGGTCATATTGGCATGAAGTTTCTTGAGCCATGCCACATAAAGGTCCTATCCGATAGCGCCATCCCAGAGACCACCTACGAAGGCCAGGAAGGGCCCTCGATCTCAACAAAAATCAAAACATATACAACATCCCTGTTTGTTGGACTAGAGTGGAGGACGGCTATTGTCATGTGAACCAACATGTAGTTGCCAAGAGCCTATCACGCACTGTACGTTTTTGTTCCATATATCGGCTGATATATATATATATAGGTAGATAGAAAACTTTGGCAAATGCCTTCAAAACACGTCAAATGATCCATTCTCCCACGATAACAACAGCCAAAGGCAGCTGCCCCAAGTTACCAAGTTAAATCAGTGTTGCTCGAAGAACAACAACTTGAAAGCACGTTCCCGTGTTTGTTCTCCAAGACGTCTATGCAAAATATATCACCGTTGTCTCTCCCAAAATCCACCGTCATCACCTCCAAAAAGCTCCTGCCTAAGGGTCGGACTGCCACCAGAAGCGCTGATGAGCACCAGACCAGATCTATTGAAGAACCTTCAGAAGTCACAAGACGCAGCATGGCATCTCACGCGGCCAGCCTCTCAGTTCGGGGCAGATGGTGGGTCGAAGGTCGAACCGCCCCTGGACGGTCGGTCACGTTGGTCGTGCAGCACAACGGGCCTTGCCCAGGTGCTTTGTGCAGTCCATCGGAGGGAACCTTTCTGTAGGCTAAATTGGTCTCACGGAATCCTCAAAGACTCAAAGACTTACGGAATCGATTGGGATCGTTCATCACCCTGGAGATGAAGCAAGTTTGTTCAAGCCATCTTTGCTAGAACGCTGCAGGAAGTAATCTCGCAAGTCTGCAGGATGGTGGTGCAGACTGCATGGTGCTGGTTCAAACATGTTTTGAGAAGCAGGAAGTACATTCATAAATTTCTTGAATTCAGCTATCATTGCTCAAACTCCACCTTCAACAGGACATAATAATGGGACGTCTTCTTTACAAGTCCGGAAAGCCGCCAAAACCAGGATGAAAGACGCCTGGGTCCTTTCTGCTGGTGCCAATGTACTTCAGGGCTGTTTCATCAATTTCGAGGGCCATCCACACATCCATCGACAATCCAAAGTAGAAAACGATGACACCACGCCCTACTTGGGGAATCCATGTGGCTACGGCCATGTGGCTACCGCATGGATCGCCGAACGCTCCACGGCAGTTGGTGCGGCCCGTCGTCCCGGCCCGGGAGGCTGAAAGCCCCAATGGGATGCAGCCCGGGATCCAGGCTGGGTTCTGATCGACAGGATTTTAGAATTCTGGGCCATCAAGGGCACTATATACTGAGGCTAGTACTAACTGAGGCTTTTGGAGTAGGCTAACGATTTGTTAGAAAGGTGGTGCTTGGTGTGGGGACATGACTAATTCATACTAATTCTATAGATGTGGATGTGGCTCAAAGCAAGAATGTGCTAGTCGTTCGCACAAATGATCGCGCATGGATAGGTGCTGAAGAGCTGAATGTGAGCCCTGTATCATTTGTATTTGGGAGACCTCCACAGTTTGTACCTGGTTCAGTTCAAGTATCAAAATCCACAGAAGAAGCTCATTCGGATGCCTTTGCACTAAGCCTTGTGTTGTGCAAGGATGGCTTAGTCGCCTTGAATGACAATGAGAAGACTATGCAGGCAGGTGGGGCAACATTGGCAACGTGGATCTATTTGGGATCTTCTCAGCTTGTGTTTTGGCCACAGCTCCTACTACAAGTAGTGCACTAAAGGTGGATGACTGAAACACAATGGGCTTAGTGGGCTCCTACTCGGGTGCAGGACTAAACATAACCATTTCTTCGACTCGGCCACTAGAGCTCTGACATGTTCGACCAGGACCACTGGACTCGGCCACTGGAGCTCCACCGGACATGCCATGTAATTAAAAGCATTTGATGATGCTCGTGTTGGATGTGTGATAATAATTAATTTATGTGATAATTTGGTTGGTTGGTTGGTTGGATGATGCTGAATGGGTGGGTGGTTTGCCCAGCGGTTATCCTTGTTTGATTATGTTTTCCCGTGATATCATGTTCTTCCTTGGCTGTACAGCCGTGATCCACCGTGCGAGGACCAACTGCAGGAATTGTCGAGGCAGCAAGAGAGTTTGATGCAGGCACTGGAAAAGGCTCGCTTTGCAAAGATGGGACGGGCCTATTGTTCAACTCCTGCGTTTCGCCCAGCAGTCGAACAAAAACGCCTCGAGAGTCGAACGAAACACACATCCACAGAGTTCTCATGCGTGAGTGTGTGTTCAAACCGCTGGTTGAAAAAATAACAAAAAAAAAGATCCTCGTGACTTTGAAGGCTCGATAAAAATTTGTGGGCTTAGAAGCCAAAACAACGGGCAGAGAAAGCAGCAATTTTGTGAATCGTATCACCAGCAGGTCTCAGATTCTTTAGGAATCGATCCCAGAACGACGCGCATTGGTGCTTTCCTTGTGCGCCGCGCATTGGTGCTTGCTGTTTTGGGTTCGGCTGTTTAGGCCGATGAGACAGACAGGTTGTGGCAGGCTGGTGGCGGAGGAAGGGTGCTTGTCAGGGAAGCCCGTGGGGCTTCTCTTGGCCAGGTTGAAGGTTGCAAGGTTGACCGTGGTGCGAACTCTGATATCGCTGTGAAGTTGCATTCAAGATCACAGCATAGAGAATGCGCTTGTTTTGATCCATTCCTTGAAAACTGCAAAGGCAGAAAAGCAGAGGTTGCAGAATGAGTTGGAGGCAGCAGCCGTTGAGGCTGTCAGATGATGTTTCAGCTGCCAAGTGTACCAAGCTGCATGTGCATCATATTTGTCACCCCTTGATTTCGATGCCTTTTGCAGGCCAGAAGAAAGACAGCAGCTCCGCAGGCACCCTTCGATCATCAGTGCACCATCCTAGCTGATCTTAAGCACATGTGTTTTAAAGAGCACGCATTCAATTGAATAAGCAGTGGCTCGTTCAATGTTGACAAGACAAGAGGTGGTATTGAAAGTGGCTATTACCATAAAACTTCCGACTGTTTGTTTTACGTTGTGATACTTATACTTGCTTTATTTGGGTATGTTTTGCGTGCCTTACATGAGGAATGTGTAACGCATGACGCTAAGTCTTTGATCACACAGTCAGAATATTTTCCCGGCCAGCATAGCCTGAACTCGCTAAAGCTTCCCTGTGCCTGTGCTATCTCAAAAGATTCATCAGCTACCTTTGGCACATGCCTCCTGCACAGCCCTCCGCAAGATGGCTGCAAGGTGGATGATCAGCTACAAAACAAGCTGATGGACTTGGCACCGAAGGCTCTCCTTCACTCTTTGAGCAAAGGGCTACATTGCAAACCACACTGAGAGAGTTGGTCCATCGGTGCAGAGGCTGAAAAGCAAGCGCAAACATCAGAAAAGAGCGAGCAAGCACCGCAGGCCACTAGCAGTTGGTTCACTTTAGTTTGGTTGCTGGCGCTGGTTATAGCATCGGTCGCACAAAGCAAGATGTAAAGCGGTTTTGCTGATGAATTCTTCAGTTTTACCACTCAAGTGACAATGGACTCCAGGGGGACATTTCAATGGAACACTTGGGTTGGCTGACATGCTGGATTTGGTTTGATACAGTATAATTTTTAGGACTGAAGACATTAGACACCATCAATGTTGAGCGAAAGACAACGGGCAAGGTTTTCCTCCTGTTTTACTAGCTTGTTGAGTGCACCTTGTTCTTGTGCTCATGCATTGTGTTGTGTAGCTACTTGAACAATGACTCACGATGCCCGCATAAACTCACTCCTGTGACAAGATGAACATGCCAAATGTCCGTTTTTGGGCACGTTCCCTGATGATTTTGATTGTTGCTCCTCTCCTATGCGATTCCAGCTTTTCGTGCAGCAACAGTATTTTGGCACAGTTAGTAAGCCTCCTCCTTGCAGGCAGAGAAGGAGCAGCTCAAGAAGCAGTTGGAAGATAGAGAACAAGAGGCTGAATCAGCTCCCCTTTACGGAGAACAATTCGCGAAGATATCCAAAGCACAAAGTGAAATACAACATAAATTCTTCCATGATGTTTCAGATGCCAAGTGTGTATAAAGCTGTACATATACTCATCATGTTTTCCTCTCCCAGAGTCCATGAGGGCTTCGTGATTTCACCATCCTGGCAGATCTTGAGCGCACTTGCTGACTTGCTTCGAAGAGCCTGCATCCAACAGTGAATATGTTCTGTAGTGCACGGTTGTTGGCAAGAGAGATGGAACTGAACATGGGTGCTGCGAGTGTTGAAAGATTCTATGGAATCTTGTGCCTTACAAGAGGCATGTGTAAAGGGAAACTTAGTCTTTGGTTACACAACTGGATTAAGTTCCCAACCAAAATAGCCTGAACTCACTAAAGCTTCCCTGTATCACAGCAGCACCTTTGCGCATCCCTCCTACACAGTTCCATAAGATGGCTGCAAGGCGAACCATGAGCTGCGGGAGAACAAGCTGATGGAGTTGGAACAGAAGGTTCTCCCGCGCACTCTTTGGGCAGAGGGCTGTGCCCCATACCGCAATTACACCATTACTTTTGCCAGCTGGCATGAAGCGCCCACGCTGTTGTCCGTCCACTTAGTGATTAAGATGGTAGACTATCAGAAAGGGGCACCTTGTAGCCAGTCTCAGTAGAACTTTGCTTTGCACTAGCGCAAGTCTATCCGAGATCAGAATCCGGTGACAGAAGGTTTCAGTACTTTCAATGTAGTTCCTGTGGTGCATCTTAGTCCAGACCCAGTTCATCAGGAAAATATATTAGACAAGAGCATACGCACACAAACTATCAGATTGAAGCAAACATGTCTCCAAAACACAAGAACCACCCATAGCCAAACTGGTGAAGGCGGAGGAGAAGGCGAAGTTGGCGTCAACGTTGCAGGCACCTGATCCTTTTTGAGGGATGACACTCAGAAAGAGAAGAAGCTGTTTGAGCTTCAGCTCAGTTGTGGCTGCCGCATGCTTGTTGTGAGTGTGAGAAAGGACAAGTTTGACGCTCTCACCATGCACAATGAGCAAATGCAGCAAGAGCTCCGTCAGGCCTGCGTAGCTTACATGATGACCACTGTGTCATGTCCACATCGCACACTTGCAGATCACTGGGATAGTGAGTGAAGGTAATGGGCAAGTATATTCTTGTGTGTTTGTTTGTGCGTGAAGGCAGAAAAGAAGGAGCAAGTAACAGAAAAGAGCGAGCAAGCACTGCAGGCGGCTAGCTGTTGGTCGTGTTTGGTTTGGTTGTTGCTAGTCGAGTTGGTCCCACAAAGCAAGATGTTAAGTGGCTTGCTCATGTAGCACTTGGATTTCCTTTGTCACAGACCAAACACATGGTTTAGCAGCGTGAGTTGTGCGGGGGACGTGCCAGATCCATACAAAACTGAGTAGGGCTAACAAGTATTACAAGTAGCCTTAAGCTGCGGGGCGTGTAGAAACTCATGTCCGTGTCAATCTTAGCATGCCACATGTTAAGATTTGTTTTTGGTTTTTAATTTTTTGGTACATTCCCCAATGCTTTGGTAGTCGCCATGGAGTTGACTCTCTCCTGTGCGATTCCAACTTCTCGTACAGCAATAGTATTTTGGCACAGTTAGTCAGCCTCCTCCTTGCAGGCAGAGAAGGAGCAGCTCAAGAAGCAGTTGGAAGATAAAGAACAAGAGGCTGAATCAGCATCCTGATCCTGCAGAAAACATCATAGATTGTTCCAGTTTTTTTTTGGTGCCAAATGTATCAGGCTGTGTGCTCATCATGTTTTCTCTCTAAGAGTATCTTGTTTGTTTGTTTGTTTGTTTGTTTGTTTGCACAGGCCAAAGGAAAGGAAGCAGCTTTGCAGGCCCTTTGGATCATCAGAGATTGCAAAATCCCAGC